ATAACATGGTAGCTGCTTCTCTCCCTTAACCACGTGGCACAGTGCAGGAACTGAACTTAGTTTCCTGGCCTTCTGGGCTTTTCAGATAAGCCTAAATTTCTTTTTTATTTTAAAGAGAAAAAAAATGAAAGCTTTAAAACAAGGTAATAGGAAGGCAACAATACATTGCATATTGTTATCTTTAATTACTCAGAATATAACAGCATTTAATTGTCTAAGAAATTTTAGCACGTCTTTCTTTTCAATGAACTAAGAGAAATTAGTAGTATAACTATCTTAACTTATAATTTATATATATATAAAATGATTTTTCATTTTTCTTTTCCCTTTCTTCTTTTCTCCATTCCCTCACCACCCTAGTTTCTCTTTCCTTTTGAAGTTTCTTCCCATTTTACAATTTCTGTTGTATACTTTGGATCTCACATACTTTTTCAGCTTCTTACACTAGGGAGATGATGTGATGCTTACACATATGAATCTGGTTTATTTCAGTTGTGAGTATGGCTTCAAGTTTCATCGATTTAGCTATAAAAAAACCTCAAGTTTATCCTTTATGGCTGAGTACTACTCCATTGTATAAAAAGACCACATCTTTTTTATCCACTCCTTGGTTTATGGGCATGTAGGTTGTTCCCAAGATCTAGGTATTACAAATTATGCTGCTGTAAACATGCATGCACATATATTGCTGTGGTGCAGTGTTTTTAATTCTTCTGAAAGATACCCTGAAGGAGAATAACTGGGTCAAATAAAACATCCAATTCTAGTTTTTTTGAGGAATCTCCATACTGATTTCCATAGTGGTTATACCAGTCTATATGCCCATCAACAGTGGAGAATTGTTCTTTTTCCCCATTGATTTCTTGATGATGGCCATTCTTTCTGGGGTGAGATGGAATCTCAGTGTTGTTTTAATTGGCACCTGTCAAATGACCCATGATGTTAAACATTTTTTCATATATCTATTTGCTGTTTATATTTCTTCATCTGAGAAGTGTGTGTTCATCTGAGATGCCCATTTTGGACTGGATCTTGAAATGTGGGAAGCCTGCTTTTTGGAGTTCTTTCTATGTTCTCAGTAATAGTCCTTTGTCTGAAGAAGAGCTGGAAAACACTTCTTCTCTCATTCTGAGTTGTCTCCCCACTCTTGGTGGTTTCTAAAGCTGTGCAAATAGCTTTTTAATAAGGTAAGATCTCAGTTGTTGATTCTTTGTTCTAGTTCCTTGAGATCGGAGTTTTATTTATAAAGTCTCTATACCAGTGTCTTCAAGAGTTTTACCTATTCTACCTTCCAACAGATTTAATGTTTGTTTTAATATTTAGATCTTTAGTATTTTAGTTTAGTGCACTGTGAATGAGATAGGTACAATTTTAATCTTCGACATGTGCAGAGCCAGTTTTTCCAGCACTGTTCAGTAAAGAGGCTGTCTTTCTTCCAGTGAATGTATTTGGCACTTTTGCCAAGGATAAAATGATTGAGTATGTCTGGAGTTGTTGCTGCATCTTCTAATCTGTTCCACTGATTTTCTTTTAACATGGTAGCTTTATAGTATAATTTCAAGTCAGGTATTGTGATGCCCCCTGCCATCTTGCTCAGAATTGCCTTCGCTATTCTAGGTCTCTTCGGTTCCAAATGAATTTCAGAATTGTTCTCTTTAATTCTGTGAGATATGCTATTGTAATTTTCATTGGAACTGTATTAAATCTGTATAGTAGTTTTTGAAGCATGGCCATTTTCACTATGTTGGTTCTTCCTACCCAAGAGCAAGGGATATCTTTCCATTTTCTGATATCCTTTTAAATCTCCTTTTGCAGTACTCTACTTTTCAATGTAGATGTCTTTTACATCCCTAGTTAGGTTGATTCCCAGGTATATTTTTTCTTTTTTTCTTTTCTTTTCTTTCTTTCTTTTTTTTTTTTTTGGATGTTATTTGTTATTTTAAAAGATGTTAGTTCTCCAAGTCCCCTGACAATAAATTTGTTATTCATATATAAGGAACCTTTTGATTTTTGAGTGTTGAGTTTATATCTAGCTGTGCTACTAAATTTAATTAGTAAATCTAGCAGTTTTTTTAATGGAGCTTTTGGGGTCTTCTAAGTAGAGAGTATCATGTCATCTGAGAATAATAATTCCCCTTCCTTTCTGATCCTTATTCCTTTTATTTCTTTCTCTTGCCTAATTGCTCTGGCTGAAGTTTCCAGGGCTTTGGTGAATAAGAGTGAAGACAGTAGCCATCCTTGTTTTGTTTCTTTTAGAGTAAAAGATTTCAATTTTTGTCCATGTAGTACAATGTTAGCTGTTGGCTTGAAATAGATGGCTTTTATCAGAGATTGAGATAATACCATCTATTCCAGTTTTCTATAGGGCTTCATAATGAATATATGTTAGACTTTGTCAGAGGCTTTTTCTGCATCTACTGAGGTGATCCTGTGAGTTTTGTACCTGGTTATGTTAACATGGAGTCTTAACATTTATTGATTTAAGTATGTTGACCCATCCCTCTATCTCTGGGGTGAATCCTGCTTAGCCACGTTGTGTAAGCTCCTTGGTGGTTTGCTGCATTCTGTTTGCAAGTATGTTAGTGAGAATTTTTACATCTGTATTAATTAAGGTTAAGCCTCAATTCTTAATATTATTTTTGCTTATCATTTCTTTTTTGTTATCATTGCTATCATTTTTGACAAAAATTGTATGGATTTATAATATTCAACATTATGTTTTCATACACATGTGAAGGACCACATCCAACTAGTCTTGGATGGAAACAGTCAAAAAAACAAGTTGCATCTGTACTGAACATGTTGTCATTATTCTCTAGATAATATGGCATAACAGCTATCTACTCGGCATCTATATCGTGTTAGGCATCCTAAGTAATCTAGAGAGGACTTAAAAGTACTCACAGGGATGTTCATAGGTCAGATATCAACCACACACTGTCTCATATAAAGGACTTGAGCATCAGCAGATTTTGGTGTCTGTGGCGAAGGGCAGTACCAGTGGAGGACTGTGTTTATGCATTGTGAGTTGACCAAGTCGATCTGATATACATATATATTCATGTATGTATATACGTTTTCATTTCATTGTTTTTTGTGAGAATACTTAAGATCTACCCTTAGAAGTTTTCAAATATATCGTGTATTAAATATAATCATACTTGTTAGTAGATCCTTCAGGTATTCATCCAAATAACATGAAATCTTTCTTTCATGTCAAATTCCTTAATTTTATAAACACTAGACACTGATTTTTAAAAACCCTAAATATTAGAATGGACAGAATGTTTGCTAATATGAGATAGGATCATAGGAAATAAATGGCAATAAAGAACTCTACAAACTAGTGGACCTTTTCTTCAACTTAAATGAACTCAAACTTTTTTCCCAATCTTCTTGTCCGTTAGTCTTGTGGATAGTTGATTTTGGCTGTGCTTGGTTATCGTGCAGTAGTAACTGGGGTGTGAGTCTAAAGGGAAGAATGTTCTCCTTCAGTCTGTCTTCCTCCTGACCAGCACTTTTAAGCATTGGTGGAGTCAGCGCCTAACCCCAGGGCATTTTTACTTGTGTCAGTCATGTGGTGTGAACTGCTCCTACTCCATCAGCTTTGGGCAGTAGGTTCACTCCTGAGATCAATTTGGACCAGTTTGTTTGAACTCTGCAGGCTGTAGAACTATGTGTATTAGGAAACAGTGATTGATTTGGAACATGCTTAACTACTTTAAACACTGGAATTTTCATATGTCACTACAGATACTATGCTGGAAATACTTGAGATTTATTCCTTCAATTTAAAGTCATTTTCTAGTTAAAGTTAATGCAGTTGATTGACAAAAATACACTATCACCATATTTATTCTTGGAATTATTTATTTTACTAAGGGCACTTTTATGTCATGTGCTGGAAGCACAATAAAATGTTAGAAATGAAGAGGTGACTAAGGCACAGTCCCTGTGTGCAGAGAACTTTGAAACAAAATATTTGACTTGGATTAAAATAATTTATATGGTGATACTTATTTTAAGTAGGTCATGTAATTAATGTTAGATTTTGCTGTTTAATATTTGGGGGATTATTATCTTTGTGACTTTTTCCATAAGACTCAGGCTTTGGTTCTCTCAACAGCAAGAGAATCAGGATCTAATATATCTGTAAATTATTTATTTTATAAATATTTGCTAACTACTTTGTGACATATTACTGTATTATCTCCTGGAAATGTAATATTATAGCAAATACTAGCTTTACCCTCATAGAATGTGCTGTCTCGGTAATTATTGATGGGGCTCAGCTGGGTATTTTTATAGTGCTATTGTACATGCCTTGTTGTCTGCTTCACATTACTGCCTTGCCTGGTTTTACTTTCACGATCTGTTGGTATATTCAGTAGTACATCACAGATACATGGAGTTAAGCTATACTGCGTCATTTTACTTTTGTGAAGCAGGGGAGGGAAACATTGAAATAATCAAGCTTCTATCATAATCTAATAATAGCTTCTTTCACCTTTGTTCAGTAAGCCAACCATAAAAAATTGTACTCTTTTTGCATTTTTGTGAAGCTAATGATACAGATTCTTTATCATAGCTTCATGTGTTCAAATCTTACTAAAGTAATACTTCTCTGCTTGTGATTTTTTTTTAAATGGTGGTTCTGCTGTAGTATCTGAAATGTTTCTAAGCTTCTCGCTGCCCTTTCATATCATTTTTGTGTCTGTCTTCTCCAACCCATGCCAGTAATTCTCTGTGTGCTAAAGAAAGCACTTGGTAACTGAAACAAGGCAGTCCTTTGTGGATGTCTTTGTGGGAGCTGAAATTGATAAGTTTTACTTCATTGTGTAATTTTAATATCTCTGCTATCACGATTAATTTTTAAACCTGCAAAATTTCTACTAGCCACTTTATTCAAAGCTAATTACTTAAAATGATCATTTTTGTCAGAATAGCTATTTCATGGGTAGTACAAAATGTTCATGAAATGTCACCTTTTTTCTTTTCAGTTTTGAGAAATGGTGCTTGGGAAATTGTTCACTGGGAAAAGGTATGGATTGATTTTTATTTGTTCTAGCAGAAGAAATACATAGAGGTGTATCTAGTAGATATAATTTTTGCAAAAACCGTAAGCAAATCTCAAGGATTCCACTGCTATGAGAATGATTAAATAACTAAAGTTGTAAACATGTATGGAGTCTTCAGTTAGTCATATCCTTTTAATATTTCTGCCCTAGAAAGATACTAGTTTGAAAAGAAATACCTAGGACTTTTTTGTTTCTTTCATAGTATATTTTGAGTACCGTTTTCATAGATTTTATTTAACCATGAGCTGTTTTGTGTTGTAACTTTTGCGTTAACCATCTACTGTCCAAGTAAAAAGAAGTTATTTCATATTTTCATATTTTATTTCAAATTCATATAGTGAGACTAATGATTTTTATATACTACTTAAATTCATTTATGAAAACATCATTTTCTAGTGAGCCAGAAATCAGTCCCATAACACCAGAGATTCTTTTGCTCACTGAACCTCCAAAACGTTAGTGAATTGAGTCATAATTTAACAAATGATATCCAGGTGACTGTTCTTTTCAGACTTCACTTTCAAAAGGTAAGCAATTATTACTCCCTTAATTCTGGAGGATTTAGCTGTTAGTCATCCACAAGTGACTTGCCTTGCTAGCCTGGTAAATGGCTTTTTGGAGGCCGGTCTACCAGTGAGGCTTTGTTTCCTGGGCTTCAGGACATGGGAAGTATCACACGTGACAGTACCACACGTGACAAGACCATAGAAGTGTTTCCCACAATTGGTTCATTTACACCCCATTATTTCCTAGTCAGTTCACATTGGTGCGTTTGATTCTACCTCATGACGTCCACAGACACTTTGTGTCCCTGCAGAATAGGATCCCCTCTCAGTAAGAAATTGCATTTTTGTGGATTTTTAAATAAATGGACAGAATACTGACATCTCTTCTGAATAACTGAAAATGTATCACTCTCTCTTCTTTGTCCTTTGACATAAAAATAAAAAATGGTAACACTTTGTATTTTCTTTCTGTGATAATCATCTCTGTTTTCAGCAGAGTAAAATAAAAGGCAAGAAAACTAAGACACTTTCCAACTAAGTTTCTTTGACAGTCTTTTCTGGCACTTATGGATATAAACATTTTAGAAAGAAGACAGATATATTCACATATAATAAATTGAATTTATATTTTCAGTACTAGGGCTGTCAGTGTAGCTAACATACATACATAGCCTAACAAATTCATGCATCAGTTTCTTAGCTTCTTGCCTGGACTGCTTGCTCAGGAAAAAAAAATGTCAGTAAGTAACCATCTGCTGCCTCACTCTTAAATTAACTTTTGAAACTTATTTTCCTAGTACACAGGCATTATTTCAAGATTGTGCTAATTGTGTATGGAGTATTGTTTTTTTATTTTTTATTTTTAT